CAGGTGGTGTTAATTTAGAGTAAACATAGTGCTATATTTTGTAATGATCAACTTTATCTTCTTGAGATAAAAACAATTAGATAACAACTTTTTTCCCCCCTCCCCCAATTACAGTTACACTTTTCAAGTTGTTCAGGGAAATGCAGACATCTTCTGGAAACTTCAGCGCTACAACCTGATTGTTGAATATCATGGACGGCCTGCGTTAGCACCGCCATTTATCATTATTAGCCACATAACTCTGGTTCTCAGGAAAATCTTCAAAAAAATGGAACACACAAAGGAACATCTGGGTGAGCTGTTAACAAAGGTCTAGCCACTGGAGACCCTGATACTCTCATAGTAGGCAACACAGAAGAGCAAATAGAATTTCAATAAGCCAATGGCCCTAGTTTATTATTTTTAACAAAGAGCACCAGAGGAATGCACATAAAAAATTAGGGCTTATAATGTAGCCTGTACTATATACAGAGTTTTCCACAATGCATTTCTTTGTGCAATAGAGTTATAAGGACAAAAGTGTTGATATAAAACTAGGTAAAGTGACTCAATTTCTGAAGAGAGAACAATGGATAGGTTTAATGAATAATTGTTATTGCCATTTGCTCCTGAATTGTAGTAATTATCAAGCATGGAAAACCCTAAAAACATGTACCAAGTCTGGTAAATAAAGTTCTGCTAGGATCTGTGGAATATCCCATTACAGAGAGAGGGTGACAGAACATTTACACTTACACTCACTCCTCCTGGCTATCAAGGCATGCTGCTGAGGCATCTCCAAAAATAAATAAGCAAATATATAAATAAAAATAAGGGTGATTTTTTTTTTTTTTTTTTTTTTTTACAAGAAAGCAAGAACCTGGCTGGTCAGGTCCTAGTTTCAGTGGTTTGGGGAGCATGCAGCAAGTGTGCCCTTTTACCACGTTTTAGGAAGGTACAAGATTAGTGTGTTACATTTAAAATATCTCTGTGAAATTGAGCTCTGTTGTTGGCCAGGCCACCTGTTTTTCTCCTAAGACAAGCCTTTAAGGGCAACGGATTTATTCACAGTTTTTACTTCCTATTTATAACTGGTCTAATAAAGAAAGATACTTTGGGTCTACAATATATAAGTAGTAGTTCAATAAGGTTCTAAATAAGCTTAAATTGAATCACTGAAATAGGTCTGGGCAGTTCTTTAGAAAATTCAGGACTCACACCCAAGGTCTCTTGACTTCCATTACTGGAAAAAAACTTGCAGCAAATACTTGTTTTACACTAAATTTTCATAACCTCACTCTTCTGCAATGGCAAAACAAGACTATTTAATTTTTCTTTGGCATAGCAGCCTCCCATTATTCAAACCAGCATAGGGGAAAAGTGAGAAAAATATGATTCTTAGTATCTTTCTTTTCTTACAGAAAGAGATCTTCCAGATGGCCTAGATCAAAAAATCATAACATGGGAGCTGGTGCAAAAAGAAAATTATCTTGTGAACTTGGAACAAGAGAGGAAAGAAAGCAATGAAGAAAGGCTGAAGGTCACATCTAATAAGTATGTTAATTTTCAACATTTCTGACCCACATTAATGAACCTTGCAAGTCTTCAGGTTTGAATGACATAAACATTCAGGTGCTTGTAAAGCTTATATGAGGAGTCTAACTAGAATGCAGTTAGGAAACACACATTCCATTAAAAATGAGAGCAGATAGCCTCACTACAATACTGGACGAGCTTCCAGCATTCTTGACGTATGCACAATTACAGACCTGTTAGCTCCAGCCAAACCTGCAGTCAAGCTCAAATTAAAATCACATTTATGAAGAAATGGTGGAAGCATAGCTCTTTTGCTCTACAGCAGTACACGTACACATGTACTTCCATCTCTTACAAGAATTATAACATACCTAGAAACAAAGCACCGATCAAAATCCAGCTAAACTATCTTTTCCAAACCAGAAGGAGGCTTAGTCTTTTGAATGGGGGTTTATGATCTCTTGAATTATCCCCAGGTCACAGATGTAGAAGAACTACTATTTATGACTTAATGGCATAAGACTACAGCTTTTCACAAGAAATTCCTAATGTGGACTCTAAATTTGTAGTCTTGGCATAAATCAATTAACTGAATCTCCATTTAAGTACTTCTGTAAACTGTCTCCCCTCTAGGAGTATCAGTTAAACTGGTTTAGCATTCTGAAGAACAAAAGTGCTAAATTATTACTCACAGGTTTACCCCTTTAAGTGAAAGACAAGGCGGAGATGGGCCTGGAAAGCTGAAACATCTAAGGCAATGTTGACAGCCAGATGGCAGAGCCTTCTTTAAAGAAGCTTTTAATACCTATCTCAGGTGTTTCTTCTTGTGATGAAACTGCCTTCAAATCCAGAGACACAATGGGTATGGAACACAGTTATTACAATAAGAAAATTCAATGGAAATTTTAGTTCTGACATAAAGAAATACAAATGCTCCTGTGCTGTCTGATGTTTCCATTGTGCATAGTCTTTCAAAACAAGCTGTCACCTTTCTAATTCATAGAACAGTTGGAGTCCAGACCAGCCTACCTGAATATGTACTTTGAAATTACTCCTCCCTCAAATCTACATAGATTCTTAATTCATAGTAATTTAGAATTATTGTATTGGTTTTAACTTTATTCCCATAAGCAAGTTACTGACAAACTTCAGTGTTTTGGCACTGAGAGTAAGTGAGAGCTCCATAGCTATAAGATCAAACAATAAATATATGTATAACTGTTTTCAAGGAGAGGGCACAATGACATTCTCTAGCTTTAAAGATGGTAAACTGAAGATGAAGTTACCGCTTGGAGGGGCAAAGTAAGCAAGCAGTCTAGCTTCACAGTACCTCAGATATAGCAGAGCCACCAAGAGACTAGAAAAGGTTCAGATAAACGCCACTAAACCTGCGGCTTTTTGTCTTAGCTCTTTAGTGGCAGCAGAACTGCCTGTGCATTTGCAATCTTACGAAGCCTTCAGAAAGTGATTCTTTAAACTTTGAACTGAAACAACCCCACAAACACAGCTCCACCCCACAACAGCAGCCTTTTTACTTACGTCTGAATGGAATATAATCAATCAGAGGGCAATTCTGAAACAGCTGTGGTTAAGACGAGGCAGAGAGGGATTTAAGGACCTTATGAGGAATCAGGTGCTAGGAAAAAGGAGTTGATAGGAGAAGAGGAGAAGGATGCAGAAAATGTATGGACAGGGAGGGATACCATGATTTGGAGGCACCAGATGAGTTCTATACACAGTCCCTTTGAACTGCATGGAGAAAGGGATTTGAACGTCAAACTAGTTTCTGAAAATGAGACCTTGAATACATTTTTTTAGTGGTTTATATCCCTGGCTTGATGGAACAAATACTGTGGCCTCAGTTCTCGCACTGGGATCAATTTATATGTGGCACAGATATCAGTGGCTGGAGAGAGAGAGAGAGCTTCATCTATGGCTCCTCTCTCTAGTTGTTGATGTCCATGGCAGCTGGGGCTAAGTGGCCCACGCCGCAAGCTGCATGGGGGCTTTCTCATCTCTGCGAGCTTATAACAATTCCCTGGGCAATGGGTGCATGACTCTGTGAAGTCTCAGAAGTGCAAAACTGCCAGCTGCAGGTCATTGTTCTATTAAGTTTTCATGTTTTAGGGTATCTTTTAAAGATTTTCCCTTTTGCTCACTGTGTCTCTTATGCTTGCACAGGGTGGATAGTTTGTCTAAATATTTTAGTGGATTGAAAGAACAGGAAAAGCGATTTAAAGTCATAGAATCCCAGGTAAGTAATAGTTTTATAAGCTTTGAGCTTTCACCATGTTTCTTTCATTTACTATGCAGCCTAGACTATTTTTAAACAGTGATGGTAGTATATGAGGGTGGTTTGGCTGACACTATTGAATCCTTTAAGGATAAAGGGAAGGAAAAATTGATCTATATTATGGCTTCCTTATTGCTTTATCCCTGGTGACAATGATGAAAAGAAGCTTTTCTGATCTCCCATTAAAAAAGGAGAAAGGGTAAGAGAGCATTTCTTGTTCCCTTTGCTAGTCTGCTCGAACACTGTCTGTTTCTTTCAGTGAGGTTCTTTCTGGAGCCGAATGCTTGATCTTTCCCCTCCATTCTTTTCCTTCACCTAACCTTTTATTTCTTAAAAATGACAGTTTAGAAAATACCCATGTTCTGTCTAATCTGATATGACATACATAGACTTTTTTGGATTTTCTAGTTTTCTTGTACACCATATTTTCTGATTTTTTTGGATATCAGATGCCAAGATTTCAAAGGGAAGTGTCTACCATATAAATGTGCAACATAAATAATAGAAGGAAATCCCATCTTGAGCTTTTGATGACAAACCCATGGAATATAAACACACATTTGTTAAACAGCATGAAAATGCTCAGCCTTACCATATGCTATGTACAATTGTTATTGTTTTATTTGTTCCTAGAACTCTCCGATGTAATTCTGACCTTGCTGAAAATTGCTTATCTTAATGCTCCCATTGCAGTTTCCCCTTCCCTTCTTAACGCATTTTATGGTTTCCTGAAAAAAGCCATGCTATTCAAAGAACAATGTTGACAACCAAATACAAATCCTGCAGCAATACACAAGAAATGCCTTAAGTTTGTGCCAGCTAGAGATAATGTAATATACTCACAAAAAAGGGAGGCTATTTAATACAGATTGTACAACTATTTCTTAAAAGAAAATATCATACATGTTATTTCTGATGGTGCATCAAGCTACTGCCTAGATTATCTTTCTTGCAAGTTTAAGAATGGATAATTTGAAATACCATAAAGATGAACTGATGGAGAAACCACTACTTATTTTGTAGATTTGTTACTGTACAGCTGTCATCTCCTCAATGGCAGATGTTTTAACCAAAAATAACCTCTTGTGCAACCAACCAGCTCCAAACTATAAAGGTAAGTATTGAAAATAACCATGGAAAAGCTAATTAATCCAGCTAAATGATCTAGTTTAAAAAAAAAAAAAAAAAAAAAAAAAAAAAAAAAAAAAAAAAAAAAAAAAAAAAAAAAAAAAAAAAAAAAAAAAAAAACAAGAGAGAGAGAAAAAAATAAGATTGAAAATGAAACATATAAGAGGGTATGGAGGGGTATACCTAGAAGTAATAGAAACATAAATAAGAAACAGAGTATTCATACTTCAGAGCTGGAAAAAAGAAAAAACCTTTTGCAAAATATATTTAAGAAAAGCTTTATGAAAAGGACCATTGCTTATTGTGAGTTAGAATGATCTCACCTAACTTTAAGCATGTAAACAAGAATCTATATGCCACTGGGTTTCTTGAGGTTGTTTCTTGATGAGTTCTTGAGTCAATGAGAAAGGCACCAGCTACTGTCAGAACTTTTATTTAACAAGGATAACAATAATAAAAAATTGAGCAAGCCTCCTACTTTCATTTAATCAACACAGCTCATATGCCTTTGGAGCTGCAACTATTTACATCAGTTAAAAATCTTCTCCCAGGTCCCAAAGCCCCATTAGTTGAGGTTTAAACATTAGAGACAGAAAGACTACTTCTCAGCCATTGCAGGATATCTGACTCAATATTGAGGGTATTTTTCTTAATGATCTGTTCCAATATCTATCTAATATTCATTACACAAAAAGCCCTCAAAAAACTGTAAACTAAACAAATAGGTACTGTATGGGGAAAAGAAGTTGCTGAAAACTCAGCAAAGCCTTGACGTGACAAGCTCAAAGCCCTATTAGAGACTGAGGTCTGCAAAGGCAGTATCATGAAATATGTCTGTTTTACCCTGTCCGTTTGCAATGATTTCAGTGTTGGGGTGGGGGTGGAATGAGCCATGTCAGAGTTTACTATAGCAAATCACGATGATACGATACAAACACAAATACTTTGATATTTTCCCAGCCGCATAAGAGGAAATACAAACAACCTTAAGGAGGCATAAAATGTTAACTGTAAACTTTAGTCATAGCAAAACCAAGCTAGAAAGACATTTTATTTCATCCTAACTCAGTACACATAGCACACTATTATATTCTGTAAATAGTGAAAGGAGTTAGCAGTGTTTAGTTTATAGGGAAGTGAAGATCGCCGATAAACACAAGCAGGTAGTTGATCCTAACTGCATCTTTATCCTACAACAGAATTTGCAGTAGCTATCTTCTCAGACTAGAATTAACCTCAAATTTGACTCCCAAACTTAATTATGTTAGAAGCTTAAGTAAACATGTTTATGTACACATATGTAAATTGCTCCATTATAAAAATTCCAGTAAGAAAAACCTTCCTGCAGCATATGCTGTCCAGACATTTTAATACTGTAATTGCATGATAATCAGAAACTTAAATAGCTGAAAAATAAAGAAACCTGTTTTATTGACTTCACTGAGCAAATGCAAATTAGTACAACTGTTGACTTTTTGCTGTGGATTATTTTCATCATGTTTAAGTTTCCTAAGTAATTACTGTTTTGTGCCCCTTGTCCTAGCACTTTTAACACACACATGGCTTTTACAATCCGATTAGGTTTGATGAATGCCAATATTGAAGTGCCTTTGCCAGAAAGAGGTGAAAGAGAAGAGCATGCGGATCAGTCCGAGACTGACATCATGTACATCGATAATTAGATGTTCTCATTTTTCCCAGATTAAGCTTTTTGTCCTACTGAATTGCTGTAGAACTAAAATTCTAGTCTCGTGAAGGTCAAAGACCCAGCTCCCAAAGCCCTCGATGGAGACACAACCATATCTTCAGCTTAATGTTAAGAACTGTTCATGTTTGACACTACTGAGGACTTCTCAAGTCTTCATACGCCAATTTCTTTTTGCCTTTCTTCCCTCCTACTCCTATGCTGGTTGGTCGGTCCTTTCTCCAAAACTGCCACAAATCCCACTAACAACTTTCCTCTCCAGAGTGAAGCTACCACCTTTTGCTCTAAACACTATCTGCCTTTATTTCTCCAAATACTGTACCCTCAATCAAATTCCATCACCAATTCTCACATTTCTGTTTTCTATCCAAGGGAATTTCCCCGATGAAAAGTGATCATTTCCTCATTAAAAAACAGACGTCACCTCCTTGGCCGAGAAAGCGAACTCATGTTTCTGGGTTCTTTAAAACGGAATTCAGGAAATAGTTTCTGCAGGAAGGGGCCTGGGATTCTGAACTATTGCAATTCATACAGTTCCTAGAGTTCTCATAATCCTCAAATGACTGCACTCACCGTCTTCTCTTCCCACTTTGCCTTCTGTACTGTATTCCTTTTATGGCTGTTCCTTAATGAGGGTTTTTCACACATCCCCAGAAACTGGACTCTGGCCACATGATCCTCAAGCCTTTGGTGGCTTGCTCTCAGTTTCCAAATCCAAAGCAGGTGACCCTCCCACGGTCAGGCCCTCCATCCTCTGTTACTTGCCTTTTTGTTTTAATGCCAGATCATATCCGCTATCAGCTTGCTGCTATTAAAGAGACTTTGCTATATGTGTAACGCAATGCATGAAACAGCACAACGACATCTTATGCAGTTTTCTGATTTCATTCTATTTTTCTCTTTCAAAGACTCAGCAAAATCACTAAAACAGATTTTCAAACAAGAATGTGTAGCAAGAACTTTCCCAGAAACTAGGAACGTGGATTGTTTATCATTTTCTGTATTACTATAACTAGCACGTCCTTATTAGCATAGAGAAGTTAGCTGGCTTTATTATAATTTTGAGAAGATACACAAATAAAATGAATATGATTACTGTCCTTTATAGGGAAATTTCTTTGGACTAGCATAAATAGTGTTGGAAGGGGGAAACACTGGATTATGGTCTTTCTTACAGTAAGCTTCAACTGAACTTGATTTGCTGATGCATATCATAACACCACTCCTACTCAACACAAGACTGCACTAAAACTTGCTCTCTCCATTACCGGGTATCTCAATACAGAGATGGGGGAGGTGGGTATCAGATCTGGTCAAAAAGCCTTTCAGTCATGAGTCTCTCATTCATATAAATTAATATTTCAGTGATGTCTTCATAAAACAAGTGTTTGTTCAGCTGTGCCACAGACCTCTGTGGTCCCATTAACAATGATAGAATTTTGATAGAATTTTGGTACTGTGCTGTGCTGTTCTTCACCTTGGGAAGGAAAAGTTACAGAACCAGTAAATTTGTAGCAAGCTACATTTAAGATTAAATACATATCTTACAATCAGCACACACGCTCTTCACAATTACTTCCCTTCCAAAACTACTACTATTTCTACTGTGATCAGCATTCTCATTATCCACTGGAAATCAAAATGACCTATTTGCGTTTTTGGTATGTCCCATTCATAGGAGCTGGTACAACTGATGTACTTAGGAATGGCCCATTAATTAATGTGCATGAAAAAATATTCTAATAATCAAACATATTCTGTTTTTAAAATTAAAAAGTAAATTTCAAAAGATGGAGCAACATCACTCAGGCTCATTTTCCATTATTTTCTGCTGATAGATGATGCACCTGTTCAAACACAAAACCCCAGATGATTCTGACCTGCAAATCTGTTACTGGTAAGATGCTGGCATCCCCGTGGAGAAAATAACTTCCCCAAATATCCTCAGGAGTGTGAGCAAGCGTAACCTAGCAAGAGAAATCAAATTCCAAAGAAGTAGTCTTTCATTATGCTATTACAGGTGTTAGCACTGGGGCTGGTTAATTTAATATACTGGCAAAAAAAAAAAAAAACAAAAAAAAAACCCCAGACCTAACTGAATCCTGAATTAATCTGAGTTTCAAATAATGTAACCTTTCAAAAAAATGTAATCTTTCAACCTCTTATATATAAAAGGAAAAAAATCTTAACCATTTACTAACATTCTGTGGGGAAAAGCTACTACATTTGATATTCATTATGGCGGTGATTCAGTGAAGCTGTTTTTTTTGTACACTGCAAAATCATCTCAATGTTAAAAATATCAATTTCAATCTCAAATTTAAGAAGTTTAGGGAAAAGTTACCAGAGCATAAGAGTAACACTGTAGAAGATTTTCAAGGCAATTTTCAAATCAAACGAACTGAGTTTGTTAAAGCTCCTGTAGCTGCATGAATATCAATACGGTTCAATGAGATGCAGAAATCAAGCTACAACTGAAAGTTTATTGACATCCAGAGAACAAAAAAAAGTATCCAGCTCTGATAATGAGTACTTCATTCCATTCCAATCCACACAACGAATCAATGTGTAAGCAGCGTCACCTGGAATAGATATACTAATGTGCAGGCCAAAAATCATCACATCACACCATACCACCAAGAGGAAAAGTTGTTGCAAAGTCTAACCTATTCAACGTGGTGGGACTTGACCAAAGTCATCCTGAATCTGCTTTCACCAGGATGTTTCCAAAGTTGTTCCTGTCCCCAGGAGACACTGAGTTTCTTTATATGTTTATCATATAACACTACTGAAATAAGTCAAGTAGTAAGACAACCTTAAAAAAATTCAGTTTGCCAGTTCCCACCTGTGTCCTAGAATGTATTTAAAAAAAAAAAAAAAGTGTGTGTGTGTGGGGGGGGGTTCCTTCCTGGGACAGGGCCAAGAGAAATCGAATCCAGTGGAAGACTAGGGTTTGTTTTTTTTTCCCCTTCCCATTCTTTAAAAATCTTTACATAATGAGCTCGTCACATTTGTTCCAGGAGTCTACAGGACTAGGGGACAAGTTCAAATTTGTGACCGAGTAGAATGACTTTATTTCATTATCCTCCTTACAGCCTTTAAGCTAACAACTTTCTCTTTGGTGTTCAGGACTACCACAGCTCCAGAGCAAGCCCCAGGGAGCTGTTCAAGTAAAGAAAGCATGCTACTTTCTCTCCTGCTAAGGTGCAGTTATCCTGTGCCCAGGGTCAAGAACAAAAAGTATGGAATGAACTTTGGGTAGCTTAATTTCTAACAATATAAAATGGACTTGGATGCTATGATGCAAACTGTTAGCTATCACCTGGTTTCCTGATCAAAAAAAAAGGGGCTAAGAAAAAGCAAACATATCCAAAGGTGATCTCCTAGAACAATACAAGTCCTTGGATGTCTCTAGTTTTGCTCCACCCTTCAGGACTCCTCTTCCTCTTCATGGTCTACTTTAGGTCGGAAATTTTTCCTGTTCCTCTTCTTACTGCAATGGAATCCAACCGTTTCCACCAATGGCTCTTCATCTGCATCACTAAACCTTGCACTAAGTTTACCTTCTCTGTTTAGGTCCCCCATCATCAGGCACCCCTCTTCCTCTGTTGCCTTCCCACTTGCATCGTCTAAATGCCCCAACTCTATCTTATCTTCCTCCCTCAAGTCATCAGTCTTCTTAGGAGATTTTCCTCTCAGATCTGTTTTTGTGTGTTTCTTATGATCCTCCCCTGCTGACACTTTCTTTTCCAGTCCATCAACGCCCCTTTTTGTTGGTTTGGTGAAGATAATCCTTCCAGCACCACAGCTGGAGGGGTCCTGGTTGAAGTATGGGGTGTAGCTATCGTGGGCAGCTGAGCTTTGTTCCTCTCCTCTTTTCTTCAAACCCTCTAGAAACTCCATGGCCACTGCCCTGTTAGTCTTGTCATTAGACTCTGAAACGCCATCTAGGCTATACTTGGTCCAGCGCTCTGGGTGTGCCACATAGTCAGGAACTGCAGCAGAAATTTTGGGAGCCTGCACTGGTTTGGTTTGCTTTCCAGGGCTTTCTGGAACCATGTTACTTGAAACAGTGGTTGGAGGCAAAGGACGTTTAAACCTACCATCAACAACATTATCTTCAGGCAATGAGGGCACAGACAGTTTGGCTGCCTCTTCCAAGCAATCAAAAATGCTCTGGCTACGGAGAGAGAATGTAGAACTCATGCCTCTCAAGTGGAATGGCTGGATGGGAGATTTACAACGGCTGTTTGAAGAGTCGGAGGTCTCCCCTGATTGGTAACCCCCATCATCTACAGATGGCTCCTCAGGAGATATTGTATCAACTTCAGCTTCATCCGCTAACCCAAAGTCATCGGAATCAGAATCGCTGAGTGATACTGTGTCAGAGGGCAGAACTCCTTCGTAGTCTGTGGTACCACCAGCCACTATACCCAGAAAGGGTTCACCTGCATCTTGATCTCCCATCTTTGGGCTGTCACTCCACTGATGTCTATGATGTAGGTCCAGGAACACCAGCAAATATGGTTTTCCAAATACCCAACGAATGTAACGCCTAGAATGCAAGGAGTTCAAAAATTCAACTGTGATACAAGTACCATACGTATCACTCTTAACTTAATAATCGGTCCTGCTGTAACCATTGTTTACATGGCACAGGTTATCAGCATCAAGTTTTTGAGCAAATCCACATGACTGTCTTATACGCTACTTCCAGCAATGACCTGTCCAGACTACACCCTATGTTTACCGTACTGTATAAATCCAACAGAAATATACCCTAATCTCTCACTTACTTTGGCTGCTATTTTCCTTTGCTGCACTAGCACTACGCCTTGTGCCAATAATCAGTGTATTCATTATACTGTCTGTTACAAAGAACACTCTCACTGATCAAGGTCAGTGAGAGAGAAGTTTATAAAACAGCACGGCTATAGCTTCATTTTTTCTTTACTGATATAAAGCACAGGCTTCATTCCTTCCCTGACTTTAAGCTCTGTCACGTCATTACTAGGTTTCAGGGATCATGTGATGAGCCAGCTCAAGGACTTAATCTAATTGGATTAGGAAAACTAATCACACATGCCTTGCTTGTGCTAACACAGTGGAAGCAAGGGGAGCCTGCAACTGAGGCTCAACAAGAGCTGGCCCTTCACTCAGTAAAAACAAACTGTGAAACCGAAGCCTGAGTTCCAGTACAGGCTGGAATACCAGATTCGCTCTGTCTTCCGACAGAAGGGAACTCTCCATAACCGGAGATGGTTGCTGTTCACGCTGCCACTTGCTGGGCAATAAGAAGCGGAGCTGGTGAATATGCACCTCAGTTCAGCTCACAAAAACATGAGATAAGGAAATAGTTCTAGTATATTACTAGAATAAGCTCAACTACATAATTATGGGTTATTTTCAAACAATGCAGTAAACAGACATAGAAAGTCTGTTAGTCACTCACTTTCTCTTGAGACTGAGTCAGCTTCCCCTCCTGAGGGTCAGTTAAAGCCATCAACGATAGAAGCACTTCCACCCTAGAAAACAAACATTTCCATTACAATATTGGAAATGTAGTTTTAGCATGAGCTTTAAAAATAATTCCTTCTCTCTGAATCATCCAAAACTGCAGAACTGATTTCTAAATCTGACATAAGCTCACGCTAATATACAAGTCTGCAGATATTCCCGGATTCTTGGCAAAAGAACAACGCGCTCCCTAATAAGGCTGGCACCGCTACATTTACTCAGTCTCCACGCTCACGCTGCCCGCCTTAAGAGTCTGTAGAACGGGAGACAGCCTTTTAAAAAAAATAACACTGTCATTTGCACGAGCAGTAAACCGTCAAGAGGTGAACTATGTTACATACGGCCAAGAAAAATATCAAATGGACACTTATGCGTTACGAGCACTTAAACGCTGCAAAAAGAAAAAAAAAAAGAAAAAAGAGAGAGACCAAGGCTAGCCCAGGCCCACACAGCAGAGACCCAGGCTAGCCCAGGCCTGTGTTTTCAAAGCAAGGCCGTATTCACAATCTGGGCCAGATTTCTACCAGGCGTTAAAACACAGAGCAACTTCTCAAGAAGGCAGCAGCCCGAGCGGTGCGTTGCACACGCAGCCCACAAAAAGAAAAAAAAAAAGAAAAAAGAGAGAGACCAAGGCTAGCCCAGGCCCACACAGCAGAGACCCAGGCTAGCCCAGGCCTGTGTTTTCAAAGCAAGGCCGTATTCACAATCTGGGCCAGATTTCTACCAGGCGTTAAAACACAGAGCAACTTCTCAAGAAGGCAGCAGCCCGAGCGGTGCGTTGCACACGCAGCCCAGCTGCCTTGGGCAAGGCGAGCGGATGACTGCTTTTAAAAGCACGGCCCCTGCTGCCACTGCTACATGGCCAACGGCCGGCTGAAACCCCTTACGCCCTTCCGGTTCAGCTGCCGTAGCACG